CAGTGGCACTTGGATTAAAATGAATGGCACCTGGATTAATTTCAGGGGCGGCTGGATTAAATTGACTGGCGCCTAGATTAATTTGGCTGGCGCTTGGATTAAATTGAGCGGGAAAACCTGTAGTTGCTGTGAAGCCGTGAGGGTATCGTTCGTATGAATGTGAGTGTCGAGTACGTAATTTTCGATGGCCGAGAATATATCAATAAACAGCACCCAATAGGCTAATCGGAGGCCAAACTCCGTTCTCTCTAGACCCTTAATTAAGGGGGTAATCAGCAGAAATCTCATTTCATTAAAACATTTTATTAAAACAACCACAAACTTGACTGAAACACCGCTGAAACCTACAATTAGAACATACCAATCCGGGTGCGGCGATGGCATATAGGCTAGAGCATCCGCCTCGCATCCGCCTCGCATCCGCCTCGCATGCAAGAGGTCCGTGGTTCAACTCCGGTGCCGCGCAGTTCCCAACCGGAAAAAAAAACCGCGTGTTGATGGAACTGCATTAAGAGGCCTGAGGTGTGGCCTCACCGGTAACCACCGCCGGGAACGCACTCCCTCACCAGAGAAGGATTGGCCACCCTGGTGCAGTATCTGGCCACTACCTCCCACATGCATACGTCAAATAACTCACGGCCCTCAGTTCCCAGCAGCTGCGAAGCAACTGACCATGTCGGTGGTCAGATCTGCAATGAAATGGACTGCTGCCGGTAACGAAAGATGCCCGTTTTTCTGTTATTCATGGGTTTGATGTAAGTTGTTTTTTCATTAAGAGGCAGAGAGGGAGAGAAAGAAAACAAGATATTCTCTATTTTGTCAACTTAAAACTGAAAGACACTTAAGTAATGGAAACTTCGTGAAAAATAAATTGTGTGCATTCCCTGAGAAATACTTTTTCACCAAAGGCCACAGACGGCTTGCTTACACACCTTTCCCCCTTCTTTTTAATGAAAAAAGCCTCTATCACTTCCCTGGTGCACTTAGCTCGATGTCCAAACAAACAAGTGGCTTTATCTGCCAAAGGTTGGCAGCCACACTCCCTGCATTGAGCTGGCAGGTGCAACCCGCCGGCGGCCGTTAAAGAGGATAAGTGTTTTTTTTTTGTCTCACGTTAATGCACCGCCCGGTTTGTCCTATGTAAACCCCTCTGCGTGACAATGGCAACATATATACAACACACGATGTACACTAAACATATCTATTTTTTTTTTCTCTTCTCCGGGCAGTACGAGCAGGTCTTTCGTAGACCCGAACTTCTTTAATGCACGCGGGAGCAAATGGAGGACAGCTTCTTGGGAGCGGACATCTCCACGCGTACCCCATATCTACTGGCCACATTTTTCAAGCAGTGTGAAAACTTGTGCACGTAGGATACCACAACCGGTTTCTTTTTATTGCGCACGCGCTGTGCTCTCCTAGCCGTATCACTTACACCTTTGATCCACTTGATTAGCTTTTGACAACTCCTCAAGATTTCCGTATCAGGGTAGCCCGCCAACTTCAGTCTCTCAACCTGGCTCATGAAACTTTCTTTCAACGCATGCGTGCACGTTTTCAGTAGCGCACTCCGCAGCGCAGCATAAATATTGCCGGACTTAACTATCTTAGAATGGCCTGAGGTGAACGGCAAGATACCCTTTACGGATCGGGGCTTGTACCGCCAACACAAATGTTCCTCGTGAAACCGAATTCTAATATCAAGAAACTGAAGCTCTCCTTTTTCAGGCAGCTCATAGGTGAACTTGAGCCCCAGGCCAGAATCCTTAAAAAAAGTTTATTATGCCAGCTCTCATGCTAGGCTGACTGTCGGTTTTCATCACAATAAAGAAATCATCGACATACCGAAAAATGCAGCAGGACATCTTCATCAATTTATCGGCAACGGACTTGTCGACTTGTTCCAAGAAAAGATTACTTAAAACTGGTGCCACCCTAGATTCGATGCAAACACCAGATTTCTGGACATAAAAGGCCCCTTTTCACTCCACACACATTGACCACAAGTAAAACGTTAGCAATTCCAGAAAGTTTTCCAAGGAAACAGTTGCTTAAGAGTTGCGGTGTTATATATATTCACGGGTATGCACAGCTATCCACGACTGTGCAATGCCACAGAAACAGCTTGGAACATGCCCGCTTTCTGTGGCGCGTACCGACCGAGTTAATGGAAACACGATAAATTGTAAGAGCCAGCATAAACATCTCCGCTTGTTAGCGTGTAATGGTTAACGTGGAATGACTTGAATGCACACACACCAGCGAAAGTTTACTGAACACTAAATGGTAGAGAAATGCCTATTATCGTTGTTCAGGGAACATAACCTATAAATAACTGTTCTAATTTGTGGTCGGTACTGTGACCTATGCACTCAGCAGCTAAACTAGAAGCCTTACGCATGAATAGAGTGCGTATCCGCACTAGTTGTGCAGCAAACGTTCCTTAACATTTTGCTGATGTGTTTATTTGCTGCACACCTCACAATCGGTTCTAAACGCATAAACAGTACTTTGCGTGACGCATATGCGTAAGTTATACTCATTCAATGTGACCTGTTGGTACGGACTTACGTGGGCGTTGTTCAGCTTCGAACCCGTATATACCTTGTTAATTGTTACGAAATTGTGCAATTGAAGCAGTTTGACTCAAGAAAGAGAAAAGGAATGACCACTGAGCAAAATTCAGAAAAACACAACACACTTCAGATATATTATATACACTAAATCTTTAAAGGCGTCTAATCGTCTTACACGCGTAATTTGATGTCACGGGGCTCACAAAGACTTTCCGAACAACTTCTGAGACTCATAAATTTTTGAACCACCCTTCTCTCAAGTGCCCTTGTTTTCCTCATGATGAGAACAATGCCAGGCATTTTGCTTACAGTGTATTTTAGGTTTTGTTTAGTTTCAAATCTTTCCGGTCGCGCAAAAGGAGACGACCTTTCCTGCGCGCTTAGAGGGAGCATCGCTGATTGCATTTTGATTCAATTAGCTGTGGAAGGGAAAGTGCCTGTAACTGCATCATGGCAGGGAAACTACACTGATTCTCATCGCGCTGCGCTATCCTCTAATTTTCTGTTTTTTTTTCTTTTTCGTCTTTTTTGACCCACAGAGTGGCAAGAAAAGGTAATTCAATCATTCATCAGCTTTTTTTTTTTTTTTGCTAAATCCCGCTTTTCTTTTTTCATCACTGCAGCAAGCCTAATAAAGGGTTGCTTTTGGCGTGTCCCCAACGGGTCACATTTTACCCCTTTAGGCGGGTGAACTAGACTACTGAAGACGGTGCTAGTCCCAGGGTGCTTTCACCTCATCAACTCGCATTACGTATTGTCTTCGCGGCGCATTAAGGAAAAGGGCGTACGGTATATGTGCTGGCTCAGCACCCATCCGGCTATTGATCGTCCCACTCTTTCGGTGATTCGCAATGGGTGCATAGCTATTCTCAGTGATTCGGAGCAAGGCACAACACTTGCTCGATCTTGTTGGGTGACTAATAAACGTTACAAAGCGTTTTAGGAAGCCTGGAGCTCGCACTAATTCAAAGGGCACGATGCCGTATACACACCGTTTTCTGGTTGTAGAATCAGCAGGCATTTACCGATTTATAGAGCTAATAAGCACCTGTTATTTTGAGTTTGCAGGATCGCTAAGCCACTTAGTTTGCTATTCCGTATATTCTTTCTGAATCGGACGTCACGTTGGCAATTTAGAGTAACAATCACTTTCATATCGGTCACAGCGCTATGTGGTTCCATTTCCGAACGATTAATTAAAGAAAGCTTACTTTATTTTCTAGCGTTTACATGCACATTTAAAACAATGGCAACACAATTTTACGATGTTGGTGTCTAGCACCAGTGCCACACTGCACTGCGTATCACAAGCATGCCTTATAAAGACCAAATTCTTTTTCAATGGCGGTCTCCTTATACTGCAGAAATGCCTGGAGGATTGATTGATATGTGGGGTTTAACGCCCCGAAACCACCATATGATCATGAGAGACGCCGTTTTGGAGGGCTCCGGAAATTTCGACCACCTGGGGTTCTTTAACGTGCACCCAAATCTGAGCACACGGGCCTAAAACATTTCCGCCTCCATCGGAAATGCAGCCGCCGCAGCTGGGATACGAACCCGCGACCTGCGGCTCAACAGCCAATACCTTAGCCACTATACCACCGCGGCGGGGCTGCCTGGGGGAACCAATCACGACAAAAAAAAACTTTTGATAAGACCCGATCACAGTCGAATTTCGCCATGGGACACCGGCAATGAATACATCATGATGTTACCACCAGAACCCCGTAAGATTCATAAAGTTTGCCAATGCGTTTTAAAAGATTTATGACGTGCTTCAGCACCCGCAGCGGCGGTGTAGTGATTAGGGTGCTCGGCTAGTACTGACCCGATGATTGCGGAATAGAATCCTAGTGGCGGCCGCCGCATTTTTTGATGTAGACCGAAATTCTTCAAGTTGGTGTAGCTATACAAATATAGGTGTACGCTACAGAATTTCAGGTAGATGAAATTTGTGGAACCCTCCACTACGACGTTTTTCAGAAACATACAGGACTTTTGAGACGTTAAAACCCAGCATTTGTTATTATTACGCGCTTTACTGATATGAAAAAAAAATTAAGACAAATGTTATCGATTAACATATGGGCACTGAGTGCACAAAAACAGACACTTAGGCAGACGTGAGAAGTAGGCTTACAGCTTTTGTATTTTGTCTCTAAAAGAAACAGGCTGTCATGTTGGCTAGAGCTGCGCCACCCAAAAGAGCCTGGCGGTTCATTTCGAGCCTTTTTAAAGCAAACGATATGAAAGAGGGAAAGGGAACAAAGGGAGGACAGAATAAGTGTGACGTACAGTCACACTGATAAGCTGCAATCTGATACATGTTCTCGTGCTCATTAAAAAAACATTTTAGAAAACTTGATGAAAGTTGTTGTCGTAATGCAATCGTCGAGGTTCCACACGTTTCCTGGTAGACTTTCATGCTCTTGAAAAATTGAAATTGTCTCCTTCATTTTGGGCACCTTGTGTTATAGCTGTGGGATCTGCTATGCCATGTTGGTCTCCGTGCGTTTGTTCGCCAGGTGTATTGCTGTCCTCGCTTTTGTCCCGATTGACCATGTTTTCAGGGCTGTCGGCGTCTTGATCTTCATCCTCGTTTGTACCGTTTCCGGGTATGCTCAGCACGTGTTGCCTGTTTCGCCTCAGCATCAGCTGGTCCTCGGTCTTCACCATGTAAGATCTTGGTGCGGCTTGCTCGCTTACTGTCGCTGTGCGTGACCAGTGTCCATTATGAATGCGTACTGCAGTTTCACTTCCGAGCGGTGGTAGTGCCTTTCCCTTCGAAGACTGGCGACGCTTTTCCACTGTAGTTCTGGGATCACCTTGGTACTCGGGAAGGGTCGTGCGAAGGTGCCGGCCTTGCAGTAGTTCACCCGGAGAGCGACCATCTTCTAGTGGGGATGACCGATAGGCTAAAAGCCCCAACCAAAAGTCACCATTAGAGTTGTTGGTCTTCTTTAGAATGCGCTTAACAATCTGAATCCCCTTTTCTGCCAGTTCATTTGACCGAGAGAATTCTGGACTCGATGTGATGTGCTGAAAGTCATATCTTTGTCCGAACTCTCGGAACTCTTGCGATCCAATCTGGGGCCCATTGTCAGTACATACATGAACCGGGATGCCGTACCGTGAGAAGATGGCCGATATTTTATCTATGACCTCTTTGGCCGTTGTGCTTCTTAGCTTCTCTAGGTCAGGAAAATTGGAGTGGGCATCGTATACAATGACATAGGAGGCTCCCCCGAACTGAGAAATGTCAATTCCCACTCGGTGCCATGGCCTGTCCGGGGTTGGCTGCATGAGAAGAGGCTCACTCGGCTGCTTGTATGCATACCTCTGGTAAGTACTGCACCCCCGAATGAAGGAGTCAATGGCACTGCTGAGTCCAGGCCAAAATACCAACCTGCGTGCTCTCGCCTTGCATTTATTTAGCCCGATGTGTCCATCGTGAATTAATCGAAGAATTTCTTCTTTCATGGCTTTGGGTATGACCACTTTGCATCTCTTCAGTAGTGTACCTTCTACCACTGACAGTTCTCCGGCAAAGGGCTTGAGTTCAGCTTCAACGGCGTCACCCCGTAAGATTCATTCGCTCACCTCGCTCAAATACGGGTCGTTCCTTGTTTCCTTTTCCAGACGTACTTTCATAGGCGTGCCTACGATGCCGGAGACGACCTCTGTCGCATGGATGTCGACGTCTGTGAAGGCACTCGATGACTGTGATGGCATAGGTGCACGCGACAGCATGTCCGCCAGAACCAGCTCCTTGCCAGGCACGAACTGCAAAGTATAATCTTATTGTAAAAGCCTGATGAAAAAACGCTGTAATCGTGGTGGCATGTCTTCTATGCCCTTTTGAGAAATGGCAAGCATGGGCCTATGGTCAGTTTCGATCCATACCTTTCGACCATAAACAAAATAATGAAATTTCTCGCATGCAAACACTATACCGAGCGTTTCCTTTTCAATTTGCGAGTAACGGGTCTCGCAATCGGTTAATGTTCTTGATGCATACGTCACTGGGCGCCAGTCATTGCCATGTTTCTACAGCAGGGCCGCGCCTAAACCGGTCCTCGAAGCGTCCGCAGTGATCTTGGTGTCCTTCTCGTCAAAGAGCGCGAGTAACGGTGGGTTTGTTAACGCGTCGCACACTGCTTCCCATTCCCGCTGATGCGCTGTGGTCCATTCAAACGTGACGTTTTTTTTTCACAAGGCCGTGCAGCAAGATTATCTTATCACTCAACGACGGCACATATTTGCGAAAATAGTTGACCATGCCCACCATTCTGCTACGGTGTGCCTATCTGTAGGTGTCGGCAGTGAACGAACGCTTTCAACCAGGTTGCGACTCGGACTTATTTCCTGCTCACTTATTACGTCACCCAGGAACTTAATTTCTTTCACGCCAAAAACGCGTTTCCGCAGGTTAAGGGCCAAACCACATAAGCGCGAAAATGCACGCGACAGCGACGAGCGACGCTATGAGCGACGAAACAGGGCGTTCGCGCGACGTGTCGCATGCTCGTTTTCGCGCGATCGCTCGGTTCTCCCGATTTGGAAACCGTCGCTCATCGCCCGGAAGTGCTGGGCTCAAGCAGCCAATAGCCAAAAACCGGAAAAGACAAAGACTACGTAGGTGCACGTGACCCTGCTCTAGTCACGTATGCGCAACAAGAAATAACGCAATGTTTATTACGCATGTGCATATAAAAAGTGCTGCAAGGCAATAATAAACACTTTCCGTTTCATTACACAACAATATATCTTATTTTTAAATTGCATACCGCTCGCTACGCGGTTTTCTTGGTGCGAATAAACGGCCTCATGCCAGCAACAGTGAAGTTCGCTCGCCGAAGCCGTCGCGTGAATGAGGTTTGCCTGCGCTAGCGACTGATCGCGCGAAGACAATCTACGTCGCGTCGCTCGTCGCTGTCGCGTGCATTTTCGCGCTTATGTGGTTTGGCCTTTAAAGTCAGGCCCACTTTTTTTGCCCGCTTCAGCACAGCCTGCAGGCGTTCGTTATGCTGATCCTTGCTGACGCCCCACACTAAAATGTCTATGTATATGCGTACACCTGCCAATCCTTCAAATATTTCTGTTGGCGTTTTCTAGAAAACTTCGCTTGCTGACGAAATTCCGAACGGAAGTCGCAAGAAGTGGTAACGCCCGAATGGCGTCACGAAAGTGCACACTCGTGATGTAGCTGCGTCCAATGGAATTTGATGGAAACCTGTTTTGGCGTCTAGGCGCGAAAAAAATGTTGCACCTGACAGCTCTGCCTCAATCTCTTCCCTTGTTGGCATAGGATAGTGCTCACGCTTTATGTTCTTGTTTATTTCCCTCGGATCCATGCACACACGAAGGGTCCCATCTTTCTTACGCGTAATAACCAGAGGGCTCACCCATTCTGTCGGTTCGTCCACTTTCTTGATAATGGAGGCAGTTTCCATGCATTCCACTTCTTGTCGAAGAGGCTCTCTCAGGGCCAAGGGTACCCGTCGGGCCGCGTGCATGACTGGAACAGCATCCTTCCGCAGGACCATCCGGTATCGCCTTCCGACACAGCCCGTACCCTCAAATAAGTCTGGAAAGGCCTTCTCGGGTTCCGGCTCACTCCACTTTACCGAATACACAGATTTCGGGACAATCCCAAATTGCTTACATGCGTGCAGCCTTATTATGGCCTGGCGACCTTTTTTTGACTACGAAGGTCACAGCACGCGTCGCGTCGTTTAGTAGCAAGAATTCCCTGCCATATCCGACATGTTTAATGGCGCTGCCGTTGTAAGCCTTCAAAACTGCACTACTTTTCTGCAGGTCCGCCGTTGCCTTGAAACGACGGAAAAGAGACCCCGGAATTATGTTGGCTTGTGAACCTGCGTCCACTTTGAATTTGATTTCCTGTCCGCCTAGCTTTCCGCTCACCGTCCAGTCTGCGCTTTCCCCGAGGCTGACACCGTAGACACCGATGTCCAAAATGTCAAATCCGCCCTCTGCCTCAACTTCTTGTACTTGGTGTATGCGTCGGCTCGGTCGACGCTTGCAGCATATAGCAAAATGGTTCGGCTTATTGAAAGCAAAGCATGTCTTTCAATATGCTGGACATTGCCCTTGCACGTGCTCCTTCTTGCACTGTCGGCACCGAAATCTTTTTTGTTGTGCTCTGCCCTGTGGGCGTAGTCTACTTGCAACGTTTGACTCGACCAAGCAGCAGTTTGTCGTGCTGAAACCTCGGCTGCTTTACAAATCTGCTCAGCCTTCTGTAAGGTTAAGCCCTTTTCTCCCAGCATCTTTTCCCTTATCTTCGGGTTGTTTGTGCCAAAAACAGCCCGATCTCGTATCATGTATTCTTCTAGCGTGCCAAAAATGCATAGCTTCGCCTGTTTTTCAAGCTCTCGCAAATAATGCTCAAACGGCTCTCATTCGTTCTGCATGCGAAGGCGAAAAACATGCCTCTCGTAAACCTCGTTCCCCTCGTCGACACAGTACTCCTCGAACTTCCGCAACACTGTCTGGTAGTCTTCATTGCCCTCACCTTCTGCGAACGAGAAGTTGTTGTAGATGTCGAGGGCTTCCTCACCGGCGATGCTGAGCAAGATTGCTGTCTTGGAGGCTTCCGTCTTGGGTGGTTTGGTGAGCGTCGCCGCGAAGAAAAGTTCCAGTTGTCGCTTGAACATCTGCCAATTTCTTCGTATGTTGCCTGCCAACCACAGCTGTTCTGGATGCTTGAAGTTTTTCATTTTTACGAGGCTTTGGCACTTCTGACACCATGTTTTGTGTCTCTAAAAGAAACAGGCTGTCATGTTGGCTAGAGCTGCGCCACCCAAAAGAGCCTGGCGGTTTATTTCGAGCCCTTTTAAAGCAAACGATATGAAAGAGGGAAAGGAAACAAAGGGAGGACAGAATAAGTGTGACGTACAGTCACACTGATAAGCTGCAATCTGATACAGCTTTGTCGTTCGTTCCTGGGGTATATAATAAGGTCAGACCTTCAGTGTCATGAAAATCTGCAATCTCATCTCCCACTCTATCATTCATGCAATTTCTTAAGTCTAGCTCATGAATTAACTAAATATTTTAAATATATATATCAAAAGCAAAAAAAAAGTAGTCCATGGGGCATCTGCAGCGCTTCAGCTATACCTCACTTTAGGATATAGCGTGTCACCATGAGTTCAAAAGCTTTTGTTCTGTCCTATTCCCTAAATTATCGGTATCGCTTCTAAGAATACATTACTGGTTGTCTGCGTGTCATCCACCAATATATATCAACTCCAAAAAAGGTTTGCCGTCCCCGCACAACGCTGGAAGAACTCTTTCTGTGTTACGTTATTGATCGAGCGGTGCGGAAATCGGCCGTTACCACAAAGCCTTTGAAAGTATTCTGATGTCGATGGCAGTGGCGTGCCTTGTGGTTTTTTGTCTTGGGCGCTCGAACCAGAGATAACGTTATTGGGGTCATTTTTCCATGCGGGCCAAAGACAAATTTGAGAGTACACTTCGGTGATGTCTTGCGTGCCTTGTTTTTTTATTGATTTGCACTACTTGAAAATATCTACGTATTACTCTGTATTTTGTTTTTTTTTTGCTTCTTTCCTTGTTGAAATTTATGGGGCACACTTTGTTGGCATCATCTGAGTTTTTTCCATTTGGTTCCGGCGTTTCTGTTTCTTTTAGCTATTACTCAAAGTTACGTTACCCGAGTTTAGTTTTTAACAGGTTTGCAGTTCATGTACCTGCGAAACAGTAGCTCGGTAAAACTGTAATCTAGAACACGAATATTATTCCTAGCCTAACGAATACCATTGCTTCACGTGCCACCAGTGTTCAAATCTTCAAATTTAATGGTCGCGCAGACACCCTGAGGAGAAGCCGTTACAAACGAGAAAAAAAAACATTTATACTTTTGTTCTGCTTTGCGGAAAAGTGCCATCACTCTGCAATAAATGCTCGCAAAAATGAAAAAAAAAACGATAGTTTCTTCTAATATGCAATAATTTGTTGTCTTTCGTTGTTAAATGACTCTAGAAATGTTGTGTTGAACTCTTATAAACCGCTCAGTTTATCTGCTTCCTACAGCCAGACATCTGTAGTGTTGATAAAGCGACGATGAATGAATCAGCCGCTGGTCACAATTGAAGCGTAGAGAAGCATCTAATCAATGTGCCACAATAACAGCCGCAAAAACGAAAATATTGAGCGCGAATAAACAGTTCGTTGTATTCTCTTTGCATTACCCAATTGATTGATTGATATGTGGGGTTTAACGTCCCAAAACCACCACATGATTATGAGAGACGCCGTAGTGGAGGGCTCCGGAAATTCCGGCAACCTGGGGTTCTTTAACGTGCACCCAAATCCGAGCACACGGGCCTACACCATTTTCGCCTCCATCGGAAATGCAGCCGCCGCAGCCGGGATTCGAACCCGCGACCTGCGGGTCAGCAGCCAAGTACCTTAGCCACAAGACCACTGTGGCGCCCCCCCCCTCCTCACCCGATTCCCACTACCGATTCGCGGAGAAAAGTTTCATCACCGTAACAGTCATTAAATAATATCTGCGGCTATCCTGTATTGAGTTCTCAGCAATGCCGTGAACGGCACATTCTCTTTATCATTTGCCCAATACATTCTTGCAGCGAAAGCCGGAGTTCAAATTTCGCTGCTCGCAACAAAGCAAATTCGCCACATTTTAAAACTCAAACGCTCTAAATATGTTCACTGTTCTGAGCCCTTATTATGCCAAACTAATAAACAAATGCGAAGAAAGTATTTCTACAAAGGGCTCGTGAGTTTGATATAAGTTTGTTCTCTAAAGGTGCTTCATAAACTGAAGTGGGCTTGAAGTTTATTCATAGCGGATGCCGCTGCAGACCTCTCACCTATGCATAAGTCTCTACCGGGACGTTTTCATACAGCACATTAATGTAGTAAAGCACAATCTTTCACACGATTGTCTATATATATATATATATATATATATATATATATATATATATATATATATATATAGGTATTTATGTTTATATAGCTGTTCCATCCAATTCTAAAAAGAAAATTATGTTAACAAGAAATATCATAAGGTGCGTATGATGTATACTTATTAGTCTCGTACGATTACAAGAGAATATAGGCGAATGATGTTGATGCGAAGTCATTCGTTTTTCATATGGTATTAAATTGCAGGTTAAAGTGACTGGTGGCAGGTTATTTAGCCTTACTATAAAGAGTTTACTAAAACGATTAAAGTTTTTGTGGGGAAAACAGGGTGCTGTAGTGAATGACACTATTGCCTCTACGTTTGTTTGCAGCCACTTCCTAGAGTTTTCGTGACCTGACGTCACCAAAGCACGTTTCTCCACACTGAGATGCCTAGCACTGTACCGATGTAATACTAGCAATTTGGAAATGTATAGATGTCTTCATTGTGCCTTATGATGATCCTCGCCAACCTCTTTCCGTCTCTTGCTTATTTGTCTGTGTAAGACGTTCCGCCTACATGCATTCACTGCTTTTCCATTGTGAGAACACCGGCCCTTCCCATTTAGATTTTAAGCGGCACCTGTGCTATCGTATAACGTCTTTCCGATTTCTAGTTCAATCTAGCCCTGCTGCACGTTGTAAAAGGGTATGGGTATGACCGCAGCATGATACACTTCAGTCGTGGGATAATTAACGGCCACGCAAACAGTATCGTACAAAAGTGTATGTACAAAAGGCGTACCTACAAAAGGCCTATGCACAAAGGTAAACAAGGTGTGTGTACAAAAGGGACCCATCGTGGATGTACAAAAGAAAGTGCGCCCGGTTGCGTGCGAAAGGCAATATCCCCACACCATAAGACCTTTCTTATTGCAGAATCATCTATATGAGACAGATATGGATGATAGAGCTTACCTGGTGTCTCTTTTTGAGCGTCCGTAGCTTTATTTTACAGCACGTGTCCGGCTTCTTTATCGCGAATCTGTCCGACCCGTACCTGTAATTAGGCACATACGGCCCACTCATTAAAGAGGTGCCTATACTGATTCTTATTACTGTTTCTCTTTTTTGTGCCTTATGTTTCGCAAAGAGTGTAAATAAAATATATATCTCATAAGTAGCCAAGAGCATTAGTAAAAAAACTTGAGGAAAAGTTTTTAAACGGCTCCTTACCTATTCGTGCCAACTCCACTCCATATACGCAGTTTATTCGTACTTTACTGCTGAATGACCAAGCGTTGATTCCCAGTTTTCAAATGGTTTGTGATAAAGTTAAAATTAATTGCAATGTTTTCATAGTGCACCAATATCAGCCGTGGCATGATATACATTCCTATGACGGGTACAATATAGGACCCACAATATCTAAGCATCTTCCATTGTTCATTCGTAACAGTCCTGGATTTCTGTAGACGCAGCATGTGAAACGGTCACCAGCTGAAAACACCAGCTCGGTAAGTTCCGTGTCTTCAGTGATGAACCACTGAATAGATTCAATGGATACAAGCGATTAATAGCTAGCAGCTGCGCCTAACGTATATATTAGCACTGGTAAGGGTCT